CTGGTGCCCGCGCTATCTTAGCCGCTGTGGGTGTTTGCTTCAAGCGCTGCGTGTGCCTACTCCGGGCGCTGCGTATGCCTACTCCGAGCGCTGTGTGTGCCTACTCCGGGCGCTGTGTGTGCCTACTCAGGGCGCTGTGTGTGCCTACTTCAAGCGCTGCGTGTACCTACTCCAGACGCTGCGTGTGCCTACTCCGGGCGCTGTGTGTGCCTAGTCCGGTCGCTGTGTGTGCCTACTTCAAGCGCTGCGTGTGCCTACTCCAGACGCTGCGTGTGCCTAGATCAGGCGCTGCGCACCTACCACAGGCATAGCCTGTGCATACTCCGTTCTAGTACTCATTTATCTTTGTTTTTTTTTTAAATTATTGTAATTCACGTCACCCATCATCATTTTCATATATTTTTTTAATACATATAAAAACTGTAAATATCTTTTAACATTTTAAATAAATTATTTTTTTGGTTGTTTCGTTGTTGTTAGGTTAGGTTCTTTAGTTTTTAACTGTCGCTTTACGACAACTTGTGAACTTTAATGTGTATTTACAAATAATGTGATCAATTATTACATACTAATTAATAATCATCCATTCATGGTCTACATAGTGATGCTCCAATTTCTAAAATTGTAAGATTGTATTGTATCACTGTATAGTACCCGGTTGACCGAGCTTTGCTCGGTATTTTTCGCTCGGTTTTTTTTAATACGTGTGTTTTGGAAATTATATTTAGATACAAATTACATACTTATGAAATACGAATAATATTTTTTGATCTTAGCGACATAATAGAAAAAACTGAACTGGTTATTTGAATAAAAAACCATGAATGCAATTAGTTTAATTTATTATTAATTTTCGTGTTTTTAAAAAATACTAAAAAAGAAAGAGAGAGAAATTCGAGCGTAATTCATAATACATTTAGGTTTATATATGAAAGAAGCTGTAATTCACTTTAAACTGTACATTTAAATATAAATATACACTGATTGTGTATATTTACTAATATAAACATATTCTTCAGAACCTGTTAAAAAAGGAATGTTTTAAATCACACAAAATTCACAGTATATTTAGTAATCATTTGCTGCCAACGTTTTAAAATCTTCGGCGATAAATAAAAACGTAGTGATTATATACTCTTTGGCGACAATCTCTACTCCGTGCGACTGTTTGACCACAAAGGATTATGTGATTTATTTAATATTTAATTTAATGTATTTGTTTTTTTTTTTATAGGATAGGTTGACCATCGAGCACACAGTCCACCTGATGGTAAGCGGTTGCTGCGGCCCATAGACATCTACATCTATCCTCGATTACAAATCAAAATGCGATGTCATCCGTGAGGACTAAGATCACTGACCTCTATATATACAAGTACACTGGAATGGCTATACCATACAAAATGACTGTGCCAATTTGAAGCGCCGCTAAAGGATATCTTGAAAAATAAAATTGACATAATATGCCAAAGTCTGTTGTCTTATTTATATTGTCTTATTTCATAAGTCTGTATTTTGAACTTTTAAACTAAAAAACGAAAGTATTTTGTTGTTTGATTGTGTATAATATTAGTTACATAATAAGAATTATTTTTACTAATAATGAGAGTGTAAGTAATCTGTAAAACTCGTTACCAAAAGGGAAGTGGTATAACATTTTACAAGTAAGTGAATTTGCAGCAAGTATTAAACTAATTAAAACTATTTGATAATATAAGTACTTAAAAATTTGTTACTAATCTTAATATCATAATATACCAACATGTTTGGGTGTATATTACCGAGTTTTGTTAAACAAAAAAATTCAATAGGGTTGTCGAGTTCTTTGTCTACAATACTTATTGATGTTCTTTCCTACTCATATGTGTTAACAAAAAAAAGACGCCAACAACGGATGATTATCAAATGTTTATTAACAGGTTTCCAACTGAACCTAGACTAAAGTTATGGCTTAAAAGCATAAATATTGTGAATTGGCGTCCGAAACAAAATGATCATATGTGTTCCAAACATTTTACAGACGACTGTTTTATTAGACATGAGAACTGAACCACTTTGAAAAAGTGCAGTATACCGACAATGTTTTCTGGTACCAGTAACCAGTAAGTATAAAAGTATTAGATTATTATTTCGAATGTTTTTTATTTCTTCTTTCCTCATTTTCAACCAAACTCAAGACAAGTGTCGAAAGATCGCCTGATGATGTCGAACCACGTTGGATGTGTGTTAGTGGGCTGCGGCTAGAGGAGATTCCTCTCCCTGGACCGCTGTAGTCGAGGTGGAGTCGTAAGGGAAGAGGAGTGTTGGTATGACGATTGGCGATGCGCCACTCGACTATCTTTCGCGACTTTGGTGAGGCTGCACCACTTGCTGCTTCCAAGTGCTCGTTTTTTCCTGGCTCCATTCACATATCGGGCTCGGGGAGTCCGTAGTGCAGCTCGTATATAAATGTTTCCTCGGTTTAAGATCTTTGTAGAATATTTAGAGACGATACCAGGAGACCCGACGGTATGGGTTTAGTTGCTTGAGAGAGAGATAAAGCTTTAGTGTGGGATACTACTTGCGAACACTTTGACAGCATCCCAGGGGTACCTCGTCTAAAGCAGGGGTGGCGTTAGAGGCAACTGAACCAAGAAAATAGCCCAGAGTATCTGGAAGATAAGTACATATTTGTACAATTTGCTGTAGAGACTATTGGTCCGTAGGGTGCACGTGCGGTGTAGTTCCTAAAAAACTGTATCTGCGACTGATCATCGCTGCTGGTAATAAGAAGTTGTTTAGTTTGTTGTTTCCTCGCTTGAAGGCTAAGTATAGCCATTCAGTGAGGACACGTAGCCAGCGTTCTTGGGACGATACCACAGAAAGTAGGACTTTATGATAATTTCAGTTATTTTTTTTAAATATTGTAATTTCAATTTCAAATATAACGTTGTAAATAACTGATAACTATGTAATTCAAAGTTTATATTTTTTTATATAATCGTATCAGGCGCATTGCTGCCGCAGAAGAAATAATTGTGGAAATATCGTTAAAAATGTGGAACAGTTATTATATTATTGTTTAATTAGAAATGATAATACAATCATTGAATTAGAATGATATATAACTTTCTATAACTTTCAAATAAATAGTCGGTATAATACGCACGCCACCTAGTGTCAGTTAATTTTACCATGCGTATAACCTTCGCACAAGTGCAACCAATAAGTTGACTAAGTTTGACCGCAATCTGATGAACGGTATGGCATCGTAGAAAGTACGAACAAACATAATTTTTTATATAGTAGAAAATATTTTACTGTCTATAGAAAGACATGTAGTTGATTAGAATAGGCGTTATTATAGCAGCTGATTTGTTTTTTATAATACTAGAACTAAATGAACAGTTGATAATAAGTTATTCTAGAAATTATGTTTTTATTTTTATTTTCTGTAGTTCGTTTAATCTTAATAATTTTTTGGTTGAATGGTTAAAGGCTATGATGGCTATCCGAGTACAGAACCAGAGTACAAAACTAATCCAACTGTAGAAAGGTGTAAGGTGTAAGCTCTTCACCGCTGCATTGGAAGACGTTTTCAAGCTCCTGGACTGGAAAGGATACGGTATTAACATAAATAGCGATTATATCACTCACCTTCGATTTGCCGACGATATAGTCCTTATGGCAGAATCGCTGGAGGACTTAAGCAATATGCTCAATGACCTCAATAGTGCCTCCCAATGGATGGGTCTTAAGATGAACATGGCCAAACAAAGATCATGTTTAATGTCCATGTCACACCTATGCCCGTAGTTGTTGGGAGCACTAAGCTCGAAGTTGTTAACGAGTACGTTTACCTGGGACAAATAGTCCGATTAGGTATGTCCAACTTCGACCGAAAGGTCAATCGACGGATTCAACTCGGCTGGGCAGCGTTCGAGAAATTACGACACATCTTCTCGTCAGGCCTATTTATTTATTTATAATTAATTACAACGGCTTGCGCTAATGACAGTAATTAATAGGTAAAACTAAACATATAACATAATTCACATAATTCAAAAACAAATAACAAGCCAGAGATCGAACATACTTAACAATAACTAGAGGAAATAAAATAATATAAAACCGAATAAAGTGATAACAACATACAACTTATTTACCAAACAAATATGGCTTTCACATAACATTAGACAGTTTGACATGATCACCATGAGTGTGTCATTAAAGATGTCTCCATTAAGGAGTTTAAAGCATCATGCATGCGACACAACGGGGATTGCGCGCGCGACACAGTGCGGCAATGGGATGTGGCGAACAGCCGGTGTCGTCGAGAAGGCCTATGACGCAGGTAGTTGTTAGGCACATAAAGTGTACACAACGTATTGTGCAGCTCTGGGGAATCTACCATGCTCCTTAAAATTTTTATGGCTATTAGGATCTGATCTCTGGCTCTACGCACTGAAAGGGAATTATATCCTAACATTCCCAGCAAGAAAAGAGTAGGATACATAAATGGATAATATCCATAAATTTTCTTATACAAAAAACGCAGAAAGGCTTTCTGAACCTTTTCAATCAACAATTATACGTGGTAGAGCCATGCTGCAGTTATATTAGAAGTATAGTTGTAGCACGAATGGGTCGGCTCGACCGGGGAAGGACCACGCTCTCACAGAATACCAGCGTGAAATAGTAGCTTAATGCTGCTGTATTTCGTATGGTGAGTGTAGAGAACCGGAGATCCTTTTTACTGGAAACGCACAACATAAAAATAAGGTATTTATAATAATAAAAAAATCTGTCTGTCTGTTTGTTCCGGCTAATCTACGAAACGGCTGGACTAATTTTGGCGGGATTTTCACTGGCATATAGCTAATATTATAGGGAGTAACTTAGGCTACTGTTATTTTTGAAATAGAATTTGAAAAAAACTGAAACCCATGAAATCCAAGAGTAATAAATTCCACACGGATGAACAGCTAGTACTAATACATATATAGATACTAACCGTGGCGCTATTGGGCGGCTCGGATCTGGTTGAGCTCGTCGTCGGAGTCAGTGGGCGGCGCGTGTTCAGAGCCGGCGAGCACAGTGAGGTGCGTGGAGTCGCTCTGCAGCGTGCTGCACTCGCCGCCGCCGCTGCCGACACCGCTCCAGTTGCCACACTGCGCCTTCTTTTGAAGCGCCTGCACGTAAGACTGCGGAAAACATAGCCGTTTTAAGCTAAATATACAAGTGTTATTTCACTACAATACATTACTTAAAGGATAGGATAGAATAGTATTTATTCGGAGTATGGAGTATAAAACTTCTCTGACAGGACAGTGAAAAGTTAAATATAATTTCAGTAGTCGGCTCAATCCATAAAATCTATAAAATCACATGACAAGAAGATGTAGTTTATTAATCCATGAGCCGTATGTCTTCTGAATCGAGTTCAAAATTAATCGATTTTCTCAAAACCTTGGACCTATTACATAATTTTTCAGACCTTGAATCGTACCTAATGCACAATCAAATGATGGTGATGGTTCAAATTAAAATTATCACAAGGTAAGTCTTCAGCTGTCAGCCGCTAGATGTCTCTCAAACTCACAAGCTACGAGAATGCTTCTTCTTGATAAGTTTGTCCCATATAAGTAATGAAAATGTTTAGTTGAATTTTTAATTAATTAAAAATATCTGCAAATAGTAAAACGACTACGATGAGTGCTCCAAATTACATCTTTGTGTTATAGCATGGTGCGGATGACAAGTTGACAGGTCACTAGAACGTAACTTGCGTGCGTTTGCAAGATTACGACATCTTTAATTATGAAAAAATAACGCTAAATAACAATGCCCACCTGTGCCCCAGAAATGCCCAGATAAAGTATATTACAAGATTGCTTTAATAAATAAAAACTAGAATTATGTTGTTAATTTTAAATCATATGAAGTACTGGATAAAAAATAAAAAAAAATAAGACGTTCTGTTGACATTGTTTACGTATTCATTCATGCTTTATTTATACGGTCTGGAATCACGTCTTTTGGCCAATGTATATGTGTCAAAAAAGTAATCCATTCCAATATCGGTTATTATTTTACATTTGAATCATCAACGAGTTTAATAAAGATCTAAATGATGCACTTAAAAGTAAAAAAGTGCTTTTGGTAGTGTATAAGTATATCTTCAAATAAACAAATATAATTCAAGCAAAAACCTAATGAAGTAATGGCTCAAAAGACTTAGCTCCAAGTCAAAAACATTCCAAAAACTAAAATGACTGTCACTCATTGGGTGCGTTTGGCAGAAAAAAGCGCTAGCAAGCGCTTGTAAGCAAAATGGCGATCGTAAGCGGTAAGCGCTGTCAAATCGTAAGTAGCTATTTTCCTCCAGGACACGATGTTAGTTTTAACCGGGGAACCTAACCTAATTTAAATATATGTTTGTAAAGTATTCATATTAAAAATTACCAATCATGAATTTTTAATAACATGTATATGTCTATTCATGTCATTATATCACTTAAAACTAATATTGCACAAAACAACTAATAATTTCTACTTCAAAACAAACAAATTAAATAAGCAAAATGGCGGATTGTGTCAGCGCTACTGAAGTAGCAATCGTGTCCTGGCCGAAAACTATTTTAGCGCTTGTAAGCGCTTGCTAGCGCTTTTTTCTGCCAAACGCACCCATTCTTTCATTTCACTCTGCCTGCCCAACTGTTAAAATCTGAAAAAACTTTTCTGCTCGATAAAAAATCTACCTTGGCTTCGTTTTATAGATATTGATAGTGTCGTTTTATTCGGTGACTTCGGCTTTTTTCTAATAAGGACTTGACTGTTTTGTGATTTGGACCTTTCGTTTGTGATACAAAATGCGTTGCCTGAACTGCGGGTTACGCGTTCAACGAATACAGAGGCATGTGGTTACAACTCTGCCTCAAGAGTTGCTAATAATCTTATCTATTTGGCTGAGAATTGAATATGTAAGTATCTTTATATATCTCAGTATCTTGTAGGTAAAGTATGCGTACACGATAACTTGAAACCTGAGTGCGAGACCTCGCTGTATAAAAAATAAAATATTATTTAATACAATCGAACGTCAGGTCTTAACTCATCGTAGACGCGTAAGATAACATATCTCTCTACTTAGTTAATCATTTTTTATGGAATGTGACAACTAACTAACACCCATTGTTTTGTTTTCAGCTTCCTATGGAGGATGTGTTGTGTCATGCTTGTTATGTATTGATACAAAATGCTGATGTAAATACACCTAGGACATTAGGTCATACTAATGTCTGTGCTGGTTGTGGCTGTTCTTTGAATGAAGCTAGACTTCACTTTCTTGAAGAAAATGGACCACTTTATGAATATTTTTCGTGGATTAGATCAATACAGGTATTTACCTATTACTACTTATATTGAATATGGTTAATTGTAATGACTCATACCATATTAGAAAATAATTCTTATAACTACCTATATCAGTGGAATAGTTTTTAAAATTAAATCATTTGATCCATTTTTTTAAACATACCTTAGATAAACGTCAAAACTCCCTTGGTTTGGGGATTTTTTTGTTACTCAACTTAGTTATTTAAGGGATTGTGTATTTTATCATTTTCTTAAATTGCTTTATTTAATAATGATAATTATTTTCAGAATGGAAGAGATAGCTATGCAGTTTGTCATAATTGTTGGCGGCGAGCTAGCCGACAAGCTGCACAAGATTCTCAACATGAAATGGCTATACCACAGTTGCCATCTGAACCTGCCCCTGCATCTGCCCCTGCCCCTCTACCTACACCTGCCTCTGTGCCAGATCAAATATCCATTGAATCGACCCCTATCTATTTACCTCATTACAAGAGAGCTGCTAGTACATCACGACACTGCATTTATGCTGACTGTGGTAATGCATCCATGCATTTAATACCAACATTTATTAAAAAAAATGTTAATTACAGAATATAACTTTTATGTGCCCAGGTTTGCACGTGTTTGCCAACACCATCTCTTTTCAAATATTTGGCATGTATTACCAGAACAATCATCTACAGTATCAAGTTTTACTATCAATCAATTAGAAGATTTAATTGATATTGCAAAACGAAACACTGTCACATTTGATTTTGAACGTGTAGAAGAAATGCCCAACCACATGTCATTATTGGACTGGTCTCAAAGTGACCGAATTTGTTATTTTATTTAACGAGTTACCTTTACTTAATCAGGTACCATCACCAAAAACTGCTTTGGTTATCTTTTTAATTAAAATTAGGACAGGGGACAGTAACAAGAGGTTGTCTTCTTTATTTAATATACCTCGATCAACAATGGAGAGGCACATGAACATTGTACGCTCATGTTTTATGGAACAGTTTGTGCCATTGCATATTGGGTTGCAACATCTTACTAGACAAGATATCATAAGAAGAAATCTTAGTATTCCAAATGCTTTTTTTGGCAATCCAAATGACTCAAATCAAACAAGACCTGCAATCACAATATGTGATGGCACTTACATATATATTAAAAAAAGAGTTCCAATTATTTTTACCAAAAGGAAACTTATAGTTTACATAAATATTTGAACCTGGTCAAACCATTTCTTTGTGTGTGTACAGACGGGCATATTATTGATGTGATAGGTCCATATGCTGCCACTCAGACGGATGCCGAAATTATGAAAGATTTATTTAGTGATGAAAATGGACCCATGCGAACGTTTTACAGAGAGGGAGATGTATTTATACTCGACCGAGGGTTCAGAGATGCAATCCCACTATTAGAGGCCTGCAATTATAATGTGCAGAAGCCTGAGTCATTAAATGAGGGAGAACACCAGTTAACAACTATTCAAGCGAATAAAAGTCGATTAGTAACTTTATGTCGATGGGTTGTCGAAGTAGTTAACGGGCGTTTTAAAAGAGATTTCAAATTATTTCGCCAGGAGTTTTTTAATAGAGCTCACGCGCATTTAATGAATGATTTTAAAATTGCAGCTGCACTAATTAATAGATTTCATCCTACAATTCAAGATCGGCCAGATGCTTCTCTTATAATAGAAAGGGCCATGAGGTATCAACATACTCCGAATTACATGGCAGAATATGTAAGAAACTATAATTTAAATAGGCGATCAGTCATGTTTAGATGCATCGATGGGAGCTTTCCTCAATTAAATATATTTCCCGTATTTAATTATTCTGATTTAATTCTTTTTGCTTTGGGCCCATATCAGGTCAAGCAAGCACGATCGTATTATGGCGAGCATGTTCGACAAAATGGTTTATATGAAATAGAAGTATGTCCCGAACTGGAACACTCTGAAGAAATGGTCGCAGCCGTTGGAGGAAATAGACCTTACTTATTAGGGGGTCGAATTCAGTCGCGCCATGTTGGTCGCCGTAAATATTTTACATATATTTTAATTGATGCACAACCATCTAATAATAATTGCTGAGATGTAATAGTAGGTTACTGTTGTAACTGTCTCGTAGGTAACAGAACAGTGGGATGCTGTTGCCACGTTATGGCCATAGTATGGTATTTGGGTTGGGCTAGACATGAGACGAATATATCTAGACCAGCATCATATTTAGATAATATATTACTTGTGATTGAAGAATAAAACAATAAACACTTACCTACTTATACTTCTTTTTTATTTTCTTCGCAACCTGTATCATATCACCAGAAACCAATACAGCAATAAACCGGTAATACAAAAGGTAAACAACCTATTATATCTATAATATCTTTATAAAATAATTGTAAATAAGTACTTACTTAAAAGACACACAACAATTGTTCGATTTTATATTTGTCTTTGAGTCAAGCAGTTAATTGATGTCAATTAAATATAAAAACACATGAAAAGATAGTTTAATACAACCCATACTATTTTATTGCTATGTGCTTTTATAATCTCATTACAAACACCGGTTTGTCATGAGGTACATATTTGGTCTCTTTCCATATTATTAATTTACTCGAGTACTTAAACCTTTGTATCTAACCAAATTGTTTTCACATACATATTGACACAATACAATGGAGACAGGCCAGATAATTCCAAATAACTGACATGTTTATCTGATAACATACAGATAAGTATATAAAAGAACACTGATCTGGCTTAGCTTATGTGATGATCATGAAGTTCCTAGTGAAAAACGAATAGCAATGCTGACTGTAA